GTCATCCCGGCAGCCCCCAGGAAGCCCAAGAAGTTCTCCAAACTGGTCCTGCTGACAGCCTCCAAAGACAGCGCCAAAGTGGCAGGGGCCAAGCGCAAAGGCGTGCACTGCATCATGTCCCTGGGGGTGCCTGGCCCCGCCACCCTTGCCAAGGCCCTCCTCAAGACCCACCCCGAGGCCCAGCGGGCCATTGAGGCGGCCCCCCAGGAGCCGGAGCCGAAACGCAGCAAGCTGGATGCGGGTGAGGCTCTGGCACAGGGCGCGCCTCCCCAGTGCCGGCGCCCTTCAGCCGCCCCCCACGGCGGCCTGCTCCAGTCCCACTTCTGCTTGTCCTTGGTCCTCGTTCCCCTGCTTCCTTTGACCACGTGTGGGAAGCGGGGGCACAGGGGCTGCAGGCACAAGCCTGGGCATCCCTCTTTGTGGCCCCCAGTCCCGAGACTCTGAGGCGATCTTGCCTCTGCGCCCGTCCCCTCCTCTGAAACGTGCTGCCCACAGCTTGGGCGGCTCCCCCACAGGAGTGTCTGAGGGCAGTGGCACCGCGTCTCCGGGTGGCTGCTGGCAGAGGTTCAAGGCTTTGGCCCCAGCTGCGAGATGAGCATCTCTAAAGGCCAGGAGCACTATGGTTGCCTTTCCACACGTTCTAGAAAGCACCTTCACCTCACTCACGCAGTCACTAAGTCACTGAATCCACGTGTACTGAGCAGCAGCCTGTGCAGGCCAGGCGCTGGGGACGCAAGTGGGTGAGCGGGACAAGACCCCTGACATACAGGCCTCCTACAGGCAGAGGACAAAGGTCAGGATCTTGACCTGGCCTCTCCTGCCCAAGCCTCACACTCCATGGAGCCCCTAGGGACTGACAGCTCAGGGCTCCCAGGCCCTCCTGGGTGCCCTGGGGGAGGGTGGCAGGGAGTGCTGCGGGCTGGCAGGAGGTGACCAGGCAGGTTTGTGGCCCTACTCCCTGATTTTGGGGAGATGGAGTCAGCCACCCTCGGCTCTGGCCCTTCTGTTGTGCTAGACCTTTCCCTGAGCCAGACTTGGGGGGATGCAGCAGGTGGGGGGGTGGTGGCAGAGAGTGGAATGAGGGCCAGGGCTGCCCCTTTCTGTGCACCCAGCTCTCCCTGGGCAGCCTGGAACCTGCCATGCTGTCCCCTGCAGAGGACAGACCCCCTGACTCTCCCAACAGCAGATTGTCAGGATTCCTGGGTCCTGCCTCGGGGCCCTGCGGGAGCAGTGGGCAGCAGGGGAGATGGGCTGGTGGGGTCTTGTGGTGACCCTGGAGCAGGCAGGAGGATGGGCACAGGGGGCGGGCTGTGGGGAGGGCGGGGCTGGCGGGAGGGAGCCTGTGAGGTGCGACCTCCCTGAGCTGGGCAGCCTGGAGAGCGCTGTGCTGTGACCAGTTCTGCACGCACTGTGTGGGGGCCTGCATGTGTCTGTGGTCCTTCTACGTGTGTATCTGCCTAGGAGGGCGTGTTTTTCTGTGCGTCCCAGGTTGGAGTGGGTCTGTGTGTTCTCGTGTTTCTGTATTCACGTGTCGAGTAGAGGGCCTGAGTCTGGTTCTGTGTCAGAGTCGATGCAAGGCCTCAAGCAGACCTTCCACCCCCAGCAGCCTCGGCCTGAGTGACGTGGCACCTGGTCACGCCTTTGGGTGGGAAATTCTGGGCTGTGCCCCAGGGCTGCCCTGTGGGCAGAAGGGGATGGCCTGGGTTTCTTCCGAACCGGAAGTGGGATCCGCCATTCCCTGAGAAGAGGGATGAGGAAAGCTATGGCAGTTGCTACCTACCTCTGAACAGGTGGCCCCTGAGGGTCAGCCAGGGTGCCCAGCCTGGCAACCAGTCACAAGGAGAGGGAGGGGCTCTACGGTTTCCATCAATGAGCTGGGCAGTGCAGGGGACCCGCCTCAGGGATGGAAATTGAGGGGTGAGTGGTCTGAGGTCATAGGGGGTCATAGCCCTGTAGCTTCCCTCTGGGCTGAGGCCCAGGGACACCTGAGATAGGGTGTCCCTGGGCACAAGCTTGGAGCTCTCAGGGCACCTGCAGGACCCCTCAGCCTCCATTCCTGTGCTGGGGTCCCTGGCCTGGTGGGGGCTGCATTGGGGACTCAGAGGGACTCCAACTCCCAGAGCCTGGAGCCCCCTCTGCAGCGTGCCTGGCTGTCACTGTGAGTGCTCCCGCAGCCAGTCCTGCTCTGAGTGCCTCCGCGTGCCCCCAGGTCTTCTCCCTAACAGCCTGGGAGTGGAGGGTGCTGTCCCCATGGCCCGTGGGAGGCAGGGCTCAGAGGGGTGAGTCCCTGCCCTGAGGCCACCAGCTGGTTACAGCAGAGAGCAGAATGGATTGGGTTCTGGCCCTGGCCTGTTCTTTTCCTGAGCTCGGTGGGATGGGACCATCTCGGGGGAGGGTCCTTTCCAGCCCACCTGAGACTTCTGCTCGCTGCTGGGATCTGTCGAGACTCCGGGGCTGTGGCGCCTTTGTGAGAGTTGGAATAAAGCCACCCAGCTCGAATAAAATGCTGGCCAAGGCCCCATCTCAGCCCCGCAGGCTCCCCTGGCAGGCGCTCTTGGGCTGTTTGACCCCCTTGACCTGCCACCGCTCTATCCCTCCATCCACAAATGTCCCCACCTCTGTCCCCACCCCAGGCCAGGCTGTGGGCATAGCAGCAGGTTCCTAGTGCTCAGCCCAGATTTGGCTTAAAGTTTTCTAGGAAGGATTTTAACAGCCTTTATGG